CTCAGCGGTAGCTCAGCTCAGGCCAGGCATCAAACTGCTGTTGCTCAGAGCTCACACTCTTGAGCGAGCTCTTAACCAACTGAGCCACTCGGCTGTCCCTTGTATTCATCTTTTGTTATCGATATATATTATTACAATTTTAATACAATTTTCCTTTCTTAAAATGTGTATACATGTTTTTGGCACCCTCTGTATATATATTCAAACAACAAAGAAAATGATTACTTTGTTCTAAAAAAAGTCATTTCGATTGTAAGCACAGCACACTGGAGTTTTTAAGCTTTTGAGGCCAAAAATCTTTATCCTCTTAAAAAATGATAGTATCTTGATTAATTTATTCAACAAGCATTTATTGAGCCTATGACTTGTTAGGCACTGTTCTCAATACTTAAGAAACTTATATTCTAGCAGGGGAGACAGACAACAAACATAAGAAATGAGTAAATCATATAGTATTTTAGGTGATCAATATCTTCTAAGGTGATAAGCCATATGGGGAAAAGAAAATACTGGAACAGTGTAAGGGGAAGCAGTAGTGTCAGGAGGTAGGGGTAGCAGTGTTAAGAAGGATGGGTCGGCTCATTGGGTGATTTTTGAGCAAAGACTTGGAAGGAGGTGAGGGAGTTCTCCAGGAGGATACCTGGGAGGGGGGGTGAGTATTCCAGGCAGAGGACAATGCAGAGGCGCTAAGGTGGGTGTATATCTGGCTCAAGGAACAGTAAATGCTGGTGTGTGGAGCAAAGTGAATGAGGGGGACAGCTGCAGAAGATGAGGTCAGAGAAGTAATGGGGGCGGCAGATCAGAGAGACCAGAGTAAGCTTTGACAGTTTCTCTGGCGATATGAGGAGCCCTGTGGTCCAAGGTTTGGGATTTTACAAGAAAAACATAGTTTTAAAAACATTGGTCTGGGCCTGTCATTGGACTGTGCCCCTTGACTTTCAAAGGATGTGACCAGCGATTGAGGACACAAAGGCCCAGTGCAATATATTACAGAACTGGGTTTCAACATAATCTCTCCGTGCTGTCTCCTGCAATTCTCTGGTACCTCGACTTTAGATGACCTCAGGCTCCTTTATGGGCGCCTGGAAAAGAGGCTGAGGCATGGCGGAAACGTGTGGCGGCCCAGAACAAAAGGCGTTTCAGAATGGGGGGAGGGCGTGGTCGGCAGTGTCTAACCAGGACCGGGATTCAATGAGGGAAGGATTTTAAAAGTGTCCTTTCGTCCACGGCCATACCACCCTGAAGGTGCCCGATCTCGTAAAAGTGTCCTTTGGATGTTGTGACAAGGAAGGACAGCCAAGAGGGGAGGTGGTGGTGGCTGAGCTGAGGCTGCAGGAAAGCTGGGAGACAGTGGGAGGTGCGGAGGAGGCGGGTCTCTGGAAGCAACCCAGGTTGGGCGAGGGACGGGGAGAGACAAGAGCGAGGGTGGGGGTGGGTGGGGGGAGCTCCCCTGGGGGACCACCCTCTCCAGACACCCCCCCCCCGTGGGTCAGCGGGGGGCCCACTGCAAGGCGATGACCTACTCCGGGCTCTGAGAGGAGGGTGGGATAGGGCCCTGGACACTCATGTCAGGGACGCAGGTCAGAGCAACTCACCTGCGGGAGGCACCGAGTTTGTTCCGGGGGACTGTAGGCACCGAGTGCTCCTTCGACGCCGCCTGGGGAACGCGCTCCGCGTCCCCAACACGCACGCGGCTCACAGGTCGACCACGCGCTGGAAGTCGCCGCGTTTGGGGCCTCATCTCCTCACTTCCGGGGGGGGGGGCGGCCTCCGCGTGGCGCCTCGGGCAGGGTTCCCATGAGGCCGTGCGCCCGAGGCTCCTCTCGGAGGCGCCCGAGAACCCAGCGGCGCGGTCCTCTCGCCCCAGGCGGCTCCGAACCGCTGCGGCTCCCTCGGACGGTTGTCACAGCCGCCGTAGAGGAGGCGGCCCAAGGACAGGCGGCCGGGTAGTCCACGCCACCGCGAGCCCGCACCGGACGGGCCATGCTGCGCTGGCTGCGGGGCTTCGTGCTGCCCTCGGCGGCCTGCCAGGAAGACGAGGACTACTTCAACTACGAGATCCTCTTCCAAGACCTGGACCACAACGGGGACGGGGTGGTGGACATCATCGAGCTCCGGGAGGGGCTGAAAAACTGGAGCTCCACGTTTGGCATGCACTCAGAGAAGGTGATTGACCAAGAGAATGTGGCACCGGGAGTCCGGAGAGACGTTGGGTGGAGGGTGAAGCCAAACTTGCCCCTTCTGGAGCTTCTTTCAAAGGCCCATGTCGTGAGGGTGGGATTCTCTTCCGTGAGCCCCTCACGCAGAATAACGCAGGCCGGTCAAACATGATCGATCTCAACCTTCTTAAGACAGTCACAGTTCACACTGACCGAAGCCTTCTCCTGGGCTTTTTGGGAGATGCTCTGTGGGTTTCTGGTGACTCATGCAACAGTTACTGAATCCACACAGAATTTCAGGGGCCGTGTTAACCTTTGTGAATGCTGGAGTAAAACACTTTCTCTTTAATCAGGACATTCACAGCCCAGGGCTCACACTTCAGCAACAGGCACAGATGGGTCCCCAGAGCTGCTGTCGCTTTCTGACATCCACAAAGTCTAGGGGGAGCCAGACCTTGATCTCCGGTTTACACTCTAGCTGACTGTTTAGTACCTTGCCTAAATTAGTGATGTCTTCCTTCTCTAGACGGGTCTCGACTTCATTATTTAAAAACTTGTTTAGATGGAAGTTTAGGATATCAAGATGAAACAATTATTCTATTTCTCCATCATTGCTGAACAGTCTTTAGATATTACTCCACTTGTTTCAGCTCTCTACTGTTTAGGTGTGTGTGTGTGTGTGTGTGTGTGTGTGTGTGTGTGTGTGTGTGTGTGTGTAGTCCAAACCGTTCCCATAGCTGAGGAAATTCCTTCCGAGTTCTGTGCTCCAAAACCTGTTGGATTTTTATCTCACTGTCTCATACCTGTGTCCTCTCACTCCGCTTAGTTCCTTCAGATTGATGACTTAATCAAACCATCTGCATGGTTTTATTTTTATTTTGGCCCTGGACCCTGTCTCTTAGAACAGTCTCTGGTTCTACTTCCTTCTTTTAGCCCAGAATTTCAGGACATTGCACTTCAGCCTGTCAAGTATGTCAGGCTCCTGCTTACCCGAGAAGGGAGATCAGAGAAGAAACCTGAGAGAGAGGTAGGAAACAAAGAGTGGTGCATAATGGGTCATTCTCAGTTTACACACACATACTGAGAAACCTGTCCATGGACCAAGCGCAACTTTTTACCTCCTGTGTCAGCTGGTCATAAAAACCCCCCCATGTAGTTACAGGTGTGAGTTTAGGGAGAGGTGATGGTATAACAGTGGTGGGGCGTGGAGATCTGGACCACTGTTTATGTGGCTTGCTTGTGCTGGTTCTGCTTGTACTTGATCGCAGATGTACTGTTACATCATAAGGATTGCTGGCTGGGCTCATCAAAACTTATGACTTGGTGGGTCTCACAGAACCCAACTCATGATAGGCAACTCTGGCTGTATGGTCACTTGATGTCCTATAGTTAAGCACTCTTTTTACCATGGCCCCATAGCATGCCAGGAACTGTTATAATTTTCTGCTGAAGATTCTCCTTTGGGTGCTTGTTATAAACTCCCTGCAACATTTTTCCTACTACTGGTCCTGGAAATACTTAACTGATGTGGTAGACCTCTGAACCTTCATTGACTATTATCTCCCACACACTGGAGTGCATATGTTTTACCAAGGCCCCTGATATATTGCTACTTCTTGCTCATCTAATGCAGTTAATGTGATGTCATCAATATAGTAGAACAGCACACTGTGCTGTGAATGTATAGATAGACCAGGTTCCTTTATGACAGAGGGTGGGCGATTTAAATGTGTATTATTGCCCATCTGATGTGAATGGCAGCTGCTTCTGGTCCTCCTTGGTAAGTGGAAATCACTGCATTCATCAGATCAGTGCCATATGCTGTGTCCCTGGAGCCATGTTAATCTGCTCAGGTAAATATGACACATCTGCATCCACAGCTGCAATTGGCTCGTCTGCTACTTGGTTGAGTTTTGAAATTGTCCACTGTCATCCTCCACTGTGATCCACCTAGCTTTTGTGGGGCTAAGACTAGTGAAAAGATGTTGGGGACCACCACCCCTGAATTCTTTAGTAAGTCTTTAACAGTGGTACTAATCTTTGTTATTTACTCTGGGGTGTGATATTGTTTTTTTTCCAATTCTTTTTTATTGTGATAAAATACACATAACATAAAATTTACCATCTTAACCATTTTTAAGTGTAAAACTCAGTGGTATTAAATACATTCATAATATTGTACAACCATTACCACCATCTAGCTCCATAACTCTTTTCATCTTGTAAAATGAAAACTCTATACCCATTAAACAATAACTCCCTATTCCTTCCTCTATCCAGGCCTTGGAAACCATTCTATTTTCTGTCTCTATGATTTTGACTACTCTAAGTACCTCGTGTAAAATACAGTAGAATCATACAGTATTTGTCTTTTCATGAATGGCTTATTTCATTTAGTATAATATAATGTCCTCAAAGTTCATGTTGTAACATATGTCAGAATCTTTCTGTTTTAAGGCTAATATTCCAATGTATGTATTACCACATTTTTGGCGCTGTATCTTTCTCAGTCTTTCACTGTTTTTCTCCAATGTATCGATTGCCTCCAGCAATATCCATCCAATTCCATACTCTTCAAGCCTTCTACATGGCTGTTCAGCTATGTGTATTTTGTTAATGAAACTGTTGTTGAATTGTTTATTGCTATCAAATTTGTATTTTTTTTTTGAGATTTAATTGGGGAATTGAGGGAGGGGAACAGACAAGTTACTGTCCTTTTGTTCTTCAGTCTATTTGTGGAGGACGTTGCTTCACTAACCATGTTGGTATTATCATTGCGCTCTTCCCCAGTTAGGCAGATGAGGAACTGGACTGCCTCTTACGGCAGCTCTTGGCAGCTCATGCCAGCTGCCAGCTGCTCTCGGTAGCTTACGGCAGCCCACTGCAGCTCCACTGCAGCCTACGCCGTCGCCGGCAACTCATGGTAGCCCAGCTCCAGGCCGAGCTGTTGTTGACCATCTTAGCTGTAGAGGGTACAGTGCCACTGGCCCTAATGTGGGATCTGAACCAGGGCCCTGCTTCTCAGAGTTGGTGTTCCCAAGCAAACTTTTAAACAATGTGCCACTCTGCCGGCCCAAGTTTTTTTTATTTTAATTTTATTTTTTTACTGAGCCATCCTGCCACCTGTTGGCAGCTCAGCTCTGGCCATGAATAGAATTGGTCACCCTGTTGCTCAGAGCTCATACTCTTGAGTGAGCTCTTAACCAACTGAGCCACTCGGCCGACCCTTGATTTTTTTTTTTAAGTTGGCAATTATTGAGGCATATTAGCACAAAACTGAGATGTTCTCCATGATGTAATCAGAAGGATTGAAAGATAATTGAAACAGGAATAATTTTCTCACACTGTGATTTAGTGTTATTGAATCCTATTTCCACATAAGCACCATATGTATTCCACTCATTGGGATATACTACCTCCAGAATTAATTCGAGATCCTTTTTGTGGCATATGAGGTCTGACAGTTAAGTTTGCGAAAGTGTTGCAATGATGTTGCTGACTTTTTTTGATATCAGAGGGATTATTCATTATGAATTTGTACCAACTGGACAAACAGTTAACCAAGTTTACTATTTGGAAGTGCTGAAAAGGCT